TCAAACTGTTTCTATATCTTAAACCTAAGTCATGAACAATGTAAAGAGGTTTCAGCGTATGTTTGTGTATAGCCGGCTGTTCATTGACAGTATACTTGCACCAACTTCAGTATGTCACTAATACATCCACTCTATCCAATGTTCATTTGTTCACCTTAATACATTTTTCATATACTTTTATGCATACAACTTACTAAGTGACTAGTTACTTTTTAAACAACTTATTAAATGTTTTATGGAGTGTAGGGAAAGGCTCTTTTTCATTAGTACATTTTACGTATGTCTTCTTACGATGAAAAAAGAACAGGTCCATGCTAATTACATCGCGCATAATAGTTTTAACATTTATAAATTAGAAAACAGGAATTTTGCTGATTTTGTTTTTATGTGTCCCATCAAGTGTCATTTCGGCCGCTAAACCTTTGAATGACTTTTAGACTGTATTGAGGAACTGTTAGCGGAACATAGTTTGGATTAAAGCATGTTCCGTGCAGGATTGCTTTGGTGCACACTGACCGGTTATTTCCTATCCAATCAGCGCTGGTAAATACCTGGAGGAGACTCTAGAATCTTCTCATGTGAGAAATATAAATACACTGATATTTTCTTATTGTGCTTCTTACTTCCATCTACCCTTGCTATTTAGAATATAATTTCTTTCCTGTTCAACTACATTCTGATTTGGAAACTTGTCGACTGAATAGGAATAGCTGTAGTTCGTTTACGAATATTTTTTTGTTTAAGCGATTTCATTATCAAAGACTAGTATTTGGACGAAGAATATTCTTTTCGATAAATTCTCTTGAGGTTCTACAATTATATATCTAAATTAATAATCTGAAAAATGGCCAGGTTAAGGGCAAAGTACATCGTTAAAAGCATGTGAATTTAGGATTGTGATAAACAAAATACAATAAAATTGTTAATGTTAATATGACTCATGTAGAATGTTAACTTGAATCTGCGTATATGTTAAGTGAGATTTAAGATCCATGATCAAAATAAATACGGGTCAAATAGGGTGAGAGAGAAATAATAGTGCAATTACAATTCGATCAAATAAGTAAGACGTAATACGGAGGGATGAATGCGAAGTGAATTAATCATGTATAGGGGAGATTAATGATGTTTAACTAATAATACGAATAATAATAATAATAAAAAGGTTTATGAATAAAGATAACAGGGACTATTACAATTGACTACGGAAGGTCATATTCAAATTAGGTCATTCAATAGTTAGGATTACGATTGATTAATTGGCCTTGATGTTGGCCAGGGGAGGAGTGCTTGAATATATTTCTTCTGTACGCACAGCTCCAGTTTCTTCGTCCCGATGGCTACTGCTTCAGCCGTTTGAATGACTTTTAGTCTGACCAGTTTTGGCAAAAAATTACTTACCTTATAAATAATTGAAAAAGATTGGTTTATACTGGCACTATGACCGGTTTGTACTAAATGGGCCAATATTGAGCTGTTCACCTTCTTCATCAAACCTTTATTTAGCCACGCTGGGAGGTGTTCACGAGCACGAAAATGTAAATTCCTAGAACTTCGACCAATAAAACTCGCTCCACAGGAGCAGTTGAACTGATAAATACAAAATGAGGCGGTCATTCTAGGTAATTCATCTTTTAGCTTCGGTGTAACCATTGGGCGCATAGAAAATACTAATCGTAGTTCTCCGACGTTAAAAGACTTTTGTATTGTCCTACGTAATCTCTGAGTTAGTATTTCGCTAGCCGCATCCCCTCTGAATTGTAGACGCATGAACAGGGATACCTTCTTCACTGTTTGTATTTCGCCTACTTTCGCCTTCGTGACCATATATCTAATTATAAACTTTCTAGGGTAGCCGTTCTCCCTGAGAGTATTATGCAAGGTGGTAAGCTCTTGTTCGACTATATCAGCAGAACATATAGTGCGAATACGGTAGCTAAGGTTTTTGATAAAATTTCGTTTGTACTGTAGAGGTACAAAGCTCAGGAAATTCGTATACTGCCCAGTCCAAGTACTTTTTCTGTTTATATTCCTTTTTAACGATCCATCCACTCTCTTAGTCAAGAGAACGTCCAAAAAGGCTATTCGGCCATCATTCTCTTCTTCAGATGTAAACTGAATGGCTGGATGCACTTCATTAAATCGTCTAAGAACCTCTTGCGGCGACGTATTATCTTTACAGAGGATGAACGTATCATCCACGTATCTACAGTAAAATGTGAAATTTTGAATGATCCTTTTTAGTGGACCATTTTCTAGTTTGGCTAGAAAAATATCAGCTAGTATAGGGCCCAGTGGTGAACTTATTGCAACACGATCTGTTAGTCTACATATTTCACCGCTGAACATGAAATTCACATTCATGATGCATTTGAGTAATAACTATTTCACGACATTAATAGGGACAGTAGTTTCAATTTCATTTTCAATCAGCTGTTCACCTATATATTCTACAGTCTCTATGAGTGGGAGGTTTGGGAATAGCGATGTTACATCCAGTGACATCATCTTTAATCCCAACGAACTTGCATTTTTTATTTTATCAACAAATCGGAACACATCCTTAACACTATATTTTACAAGCTTTTCGTGTAGAGGTTTCAATACAGTTATAAAACATTTAGCTATAGTATGGTAAGGAGAGTTATACATATCTAAACTGGGTCTTTTTTATCATTTATTATTAATGGCTTTATTCATTATTATATTTTGGTAAAATGTAGAAATTCTCAGCACAGGTTATTTCAACAAGTTTCTTACACAAAAAACAAACAAAGACAAAAAAGTTTTTAAAAAACTAAATAATCTGAAAAACTGTATACTTTTTAAATTAAAGACATGTTAAAAATGCAAGTTATTGACTAGGTTAACTCTAACAACCAGTTCGTCACAGAGTATATTTGCTAGGTAAGGTATTACAGAACATTTTTACTTTTGCTTGTGTGCATGGATTTTAATGTAATTACGTCTAGTTCTACCAGAAGATATACAAGGAGAAAGATAAGAGTGAAGGAGATGGTTAGCATCTGATAAAATAACACCTGCCAGGAGTTTGCATGACTTTAGATGTCTATCCATAACCATATTATGACATCGAAAGATTCACCACACATCTTGCTAACTGCCTTCAGCATTCATTTCTATGGGATGTAAAGAGGAAGAGACAGGCATACATACAGTGAGATCATCCGCATATTCCACAAAAGTGTTTTCTGTGGAAGATGGCGGGTCATGCAGAAAAAAAGAGAAAAGAAAAGGTGAAAAAACAGCTCCTTGTGGTACACCTTCATGAGACAGTAGAGACTCGGAATACTTTCCTCCAAATACAGTGTACTGTTCCCTTCCAGAGAGATAGGAACATAGCCAGTTGGTTATCCAGCTGTCAGTGTTGACGCTGATTAACTTGTTAAGTAAACGTTGTCTTGGTTTAGAATCGAAAGCTGAAGTATAGTCCAGAAAAGCACATCCAACATACTTCTTACCCCTTTCTAAGTTGAACACTATATTGTGATGTAGAACAGCGACAGCATCTGAGGTGCTTCTGTTAATGGAATCTCCGGTTTGTGCACCCTTGGCAACCCATACAATCTCGGCAGTTGGGTTCCTACTGGTTTAATCATTTCACATAAACCCGATGTGATAGCCTGTTGGTCTCTGAGCTTCTTCAAAGATCTGGTAAGCTCATTCTCTATCTTATTATTCAAATCTTTCTGGTCAGTTTTTTTTGAAAATTTGATTTGTCATTTAAGATTGTACTCATTTTTTCAATTTAATCACTTTTATTAAGAAGAAGGAAACCTGAACCTTTGTCAGGTTTCGTAATCAGTAACGTCTCATCCTTAAGAAGTAGGTTGATAGCTTCCTTGTGCTTCTTCGTAAGCATGTTTTTGTAACTAAATTTATTGTTCTTATATTGGTAACAGCAGTCCACGAGAGTTGATTTAAAATGTTCTAATTGCTAATCAGAATTCACAACTAAATAACGTGTCTGACTATAAGGATTCTCGAACTGTATAGCTGTACTGATATGGTTACAGTTATTACGAGTATCACAAAATTTTAGACCTAGGGATGTAACCTCTAGTTTTTCTTTATCTAGTTCGACACTTGAGAAATTGTGAACATACCTTTTAGAGTCAGTTAAAAACTTGCTTTCGGCCGTCTGATTTTCCAGACCTCATTGCTTCCAACTCCGAAAATTCATAAATATATTTATTGCCCCCCACTTTATACATTTTGTGCACGTTTAAAATCCCTAATGAACGCGTTAATTGAGCCAATATCCTGGTGAATTGTTCATTAGGTTACTTCTGAGTACGACAACATACCAGTTGACTGCCAACCTTCACAACTTTATGTTTTTTGACCTTGAGGGCATTTCATTGCAAGAGATGAGAACATCAGTTTTGTTAAATTCTTCAGTAACCGAATTCTCTTCAAATTAGGGGAATTATGGGCTGTACAGAACAAAGCGATGTGAGCGAATATCATCCTGGTGCCCATGATAACAAAGACTAACTTCATTTTAGTAATTCACTTTATATCACAGTTCTGAATAACATGAAAAGACATGAGCTCGTAACTAGACATTGAAAGACAAACACTTTAAATCATTTGAACGTTTCGTAGTAAGAGACTGTAAGATGTCGAATTATACAGCGATGGGACTTTCAGTTGCTTTGTTCACTATTGACCCTATGGATAATGTAATAATAAGGATGATCACATTAACCAAAAGAGCTTTCGGTTGCTCATCTTAACCAACCGACTGTGCCTAAGCGCATAAGTGGAAAAAAATTAATACGCGACTTCTGTCTTGTGAAAGTAACGATACTTATAACCACTTAATACTAGATAATTTGAACTTGTCACCTGTGGCATTTACTATTCATTTATATCACATGAGTGAATTTCTAACAAAAAGCGAGTCTGTGTAGGGAGGTTTTGACCATTTTTAAGCAAATAGGTTGTTCCTTATTTATATTGGAACCTAAGTGCACATTTTATTGTGCCGGTATTACAAAAGTCTTGAAAGCCCGCGAATGTCAAACATACGCTTAGGGGATTTCCTCAAAGGTTAGTTATCAGTAACGGTGCTATGTTTCCTAAGTCATTATATGTTATTTTCTCCGTTCCTATCAAAATTGCCTTCCGTTACAGGCACAAATGGATCCCAGAAAAGACGAAACTGTCGGAAACAAATTGAAGAAACTATTCAGTACCAGAGACCGTCCTAAAGAAAAGCATAAAGATAAATGTAGCAAAGATTCGAGAAGTAGCGAGTCACCACCATCATCGGTAAATATGGGTAGTGTGAGTGACGATGAAGTTGAACGGAGATTTTTGCAAATGTTGGAGGATATGAATTTATCGGAAGATCAAACGATATCTTTGAGAGAAAAACCTATAAAAACGAAGCTCGAAATGCTTGAAACGTATGGAAAAAAGCTTGGATCCTCAAAAAATGCTCCTGATTATTGTGCGAGGTTCTTGTTGGTCCCACAAAACTATTCACCGAAGCAGCTGCTAAATGCGTTGGAAAACCTACGTGTGAACTTATTAAATAATGGTGTAAGTTGGGTTCGGGAATTTAACAATACATCTAACAACGGTCTAAACAATTTGCTACACTTTTTGGCCCTTACTCTGACGAACTACTACCCAAGTTGTGCTCTACATTGTTTACGTTGTATCCGTGCTCTTGGGAATTGCGGTTATGGCTTATATGCTTTGGTAGACCATGAAAGTGCAACTACATTTATTGCTAAGTGCCTGGACAGTGATCAGTCACCTCTAGTGGACTGTGCTATAGAGCTCTTATCTAGTATTGCTCTATGTAATGCTAAAGGCTACAAAAACGTTCTGGAAGGGCTAACATTTAGTGCGGAACTTAATGGGACACCAGACGAACGCTTCATGCCTTTAGTTAAAGCCCTAGATTGTCCTGAAGTTGCGCGAGCTTCGTTGCAGTTTATTAATGTACTTGTAAACCGCAGTTGTCTTGATGAGAACTCTTTTGACATTGACTACAGAGTGCATTTACGGTGTGAGTTTAATAGTTTAGGAATTATTGAAAAGCTTAACAAACTTGAAAATTCATTGGACGCTGACATTCAAAATCACATAACAATCTACCGTTCTAGAGCTGATCAGGACTTGGACGATGTTTTTGAGCGACTAGATTCAGTCAAATGTGATCTAGATGATGCTAACCAGATTTTCCACATTCTTCATCGTACTATTATGGGAAGCAAATCAGAGAAGCACTTCCTGTCAATACTACAGCATTTTCTTTTTATCCGTGATGAGCCTTATAGATTGGCTTACTTTACTCTTCTGGAAGAACTGATTGGCCAAGTTTTAATTCAAAATGATGGTGTCGATCCTGATCCGCATATGAACATTCTGCGCTTGGATGTTGAAAGTACTGTCGCATTATTGGTAGATGCATTAAAGGAAGCTGACGCCTCAACTCGTGTTGAGGAACTTCAAGGTAAGTTAGATGCTGCTCTTCAAGCTAAATTAGAGGCAGAAGCCAAAGTGCAAACATTACAAAGTCATTTAAGTTCGGGAGACAGGTCTACCATCAAGCCTACTTCTGGGCTGGAAGGGACACTTAATTCTGTAATAGCGACTGCTCCTAATATCTTACCTCCACCTTCAAGTGCAAGTATACTACCACCTCCAGGCATTCCTCCACCGCCACCTATGGAAGGTGTTCCTCCCCCTCCTCCTCCGCCACCACCACCTATGGGAGGTATTCCACCACCACCACCTATGGGAGGTATTCCGCCACCTCCACCACCACCCATGGGAGGTGTTCCGCCACCGCCACCGGGTTTCCAGTCATCCAAACCTCCTGACGAACTTCCTTTTGGTATGAAACCCAAAAAGAAATACACTTTGGATGTCCCTATGAAAAAGGCCAATTGGGAAAAAATTAAACCCAATATGCTTGATAAAAACTCAGTCTGGGTCCAACTTCATGAGGATGAGCTTGAGTACGGTGATTTGTTAAAAAATCTTAGTGCTCAATTTAGCACAAAGCCAGCTAAGGTGATGGTGTCTGACTCTACATCAGATGGCGCAGCTTCAGCTGGGAATCTACAAGGTATTCAGTCTCGTAAGACGAAAAAGCTAAGATATTTGGACGATAAAGTGGCTCAAAATCTGTCAATTCTTCTGGGTTCACTTAAAGTGCCATATGATGAGCTTCGTCGGCGTATCCTAACTGTCGATGAAAGTTTACTAACTCCAAATATGTTAGAGCAGCTGGTTAAAGCCCTACCAGAACCACAAGTTATTTCAAAGATCAGTTCACTTAAAGATGAATATGAGACACTAGCGGAACCTGAACAATTTGTGTGCAAAGTTGGCGATATTAAGAAACTCATACCAAGACTAAATTCAATCCTATTTAAAATGAGGTTTAATGAGAGACTTGGTGAAGTAAAGCCTGAGATAGTTGATGTAGACGAAGCATTGCAGGAGATACATTCCAGCAAACACTTCAAACGTATATTGGAATTGGTTCTGCTGTTAGGCAATTACATGAACGCGGGTTCCAGAAATGCAGAGGCGATTGGATTTGAAATTAGTTTTCTAACTAAGTTAGAAGCGACAAAGGATATATCCAATTCCCAGACGTTACTTCATTTTTTGATTAACTCTCTCGATCGAAAATTCCCAGAAACTGTTAAGGGGTTTCTGGATGACTTCTCGCATGTTGAACGGGCTTGCCGTGTCTCTGAGGATAGTCTGAAAGCTAACATAGCAGAAATGAAGAAGTCTGTTTCCAATATTGATACAGACCTAAAGACGTACAAAGCTCAAGACCCTAATGATAATTATATTTCTATAATGCAGGATTTCCTTGTATTTGCTAAAGAACAGATGTCACAGTTAGAAATGATGCACAAACGAATGCAGGATAAATTTCTGACCGTTTCTAAATACTTAGCATTTGACCCCAACAAATACCATATGGAGAATTTATTTTCTGATTTGAAAGACTTCCATGTTTCCTTTAAACGTTCTGCTTCTGACCTGGCCAAAAAGCATGCGTTGGAAGAGAAAATGAAAAAGGCACGAGAGGAGCAAGCACGCCGTCAGCGTGAACGTGAGGATAAAGCTATTCTGAATAGCTCAGGACCCAGGGCACCTACAGAGGAAGAGGGAAATGTCATTGACAATTTAATGGAGGCCCTAAAGTCTGGTGCTGCTTTCGCTAATGGAGGTGAAAGGTCAGTCGTCAGGCGTAATCGAAATCGTGTGAGCCCAGCCGCTGCTAGTCTCGCGTCAGTTGCTTCACCATCGGCTATTCGACAAAGGCAGTTAATGCGCGCCAGATCTCGTAATTATGGTGACTTACCTCGTTCAGTTGTCGATGTAGCATGAAGTACCTAACTCTTTTTTACTCCTTTTCAAAGTTTACTTGTAAAGCGCCTTGAACATCACCTTAAAGAACTTTTCAGAAGTGTTTGATAAATAATTTCTAACTGGTCAGATTCAGACTTGTATCTTTTTCATTTTCTTCTTTGTACAGTCTTTTCATAAATTTCATACATAAACTCATGTTAATTTTTGCGTAATTTTCTACGTTTTCAGTGTTTTGCAGTGTGTAGTTTCCGTCAAGATATATATTATTCATACTAAGTAGTTAATAATCAAAGCGTGCGTATTGTCTTGTGAAAGGAAACAACCTAAATTATTAGTTCACTTCTTGTAGGTGTATTAAACTAAAACTGGCTGCCAACGGCAGATAGCAAGGAAATTACATTTATAGCAAGTTGCAATTTGTGTCAACAGGATTTAATAACCACTTTCTGTGTACTTCAAGCCTTCTGTTTAAAGTAAGGTGCGATTATGATAAAGTTAAAACATCCAATATGTTTATTCATCAGAAATATGTAGTCAATTTGCACCATCTTTTATTTATTTATTTAAACACAAACATCGGTACAAAGGAGTACCAAAATATATATATGTCGCACAAATTTGTAGTCTGGGGTACGATCCGGGTGCCTAAACTGAGACGGGTGGTTTCCTTGGGGTGGCCGCTTCCGGACATCTTGTTCCTAAAGCAGTAGATGAACGTCAGTAGTTACGGTTCCATGTTAGGTGGTGGTTAGAAATAGGTCCACACTTCATTTGTCCCCCTCAGGATTCTGGAGGCCCTGTGCACCATTGGTTTGGAATTAGTTTTTCTCCCCCCAGATGGATCCTCTGTACCCACCGGTCCGGTTTGAGTGCAGGACATTCACTTGCATAGCCTTAGTTCGCAGCAAATTATATTGTGTCATACCTTTGGATCAAGTATGGGGTTTCAGGTTCAGGTGATTGCTATCTTAGACTTGTTTAGCACTTCAGTATATTCATTCTTAAACCGCTTAGGACTTAGTACAAATGATTGCATTACGTAAGTGTCAACTAGTTTCGGAATTCGGCTTGATTCAGAATCTCATTATATATAATTCCCATGTCTAACTTAAAACGAAGTGCATCAAACGCTTGAATGCGACTACGTTCGTAGACGGGTTTTGGTATACATATCTAAGTATATTCAACACAAGATTCTTTAGGAAAATGATTGTTGTCTGTGCTGATATTTGGTCACATGGATTTTTTTGCGGCACAACAAAGTACAGTAGGCACATTTATCTTTACATCAAACATTTCCGAATGAATAAACTAGGCTTTGTGAAATGTTGTCTCATGGAACCTATGTTTTCTGCTTTGTGTACTATTCTATTCGAGTATTAGAAGACGTAGTTATTAGTATAAAGACAAACCTTATAAAACTTATTAACAAATCGACGTGTGTTAATGTTCTGGTATAATAATTCAACTTGCTCCACACTGGTTGAGTCTGTAAACGGAGTGGGATTTTACCATTACTGAAAGGTCAGTTGAATAAGAAAGTTAACGCTACTGTAGGATGAATAATGCTGTATTCAGAGTTCAAGAGTAAAACGATATCACTGGTCGTACTGGTAGTTGATGTAGGCTGTTCGACTAGGTTGTGCTGCAGTAGCATTCCCATTCTATGAAGAGTCAGTGGAAATAGATTTGCGCCGGAATATTCATATTCTGTTTTATCCCCAATGGGTTGTTGTTAGCAATGAGTTCGGGTACATATTTTATGTCGGTCACTTCAGGATATTAACTTATGTTGCAAGAGTCCATTGGGATTATCATTCGTGTGCACCTCCAACAATAATGTACACCCTTTCAAACTACTCCATTTAATTTCATCATTTTCGCTATCGTTAACCTCGTGATCCTATGTTCATTAAATTCTAGTCTTTAACTAATAATAACTACTTGATTTACTAAATGACATCATTAATCTGGCATAATACTGTAAATTATTCCTTTCTGTGTCAAATAGGATAACATATCCGTAGTTAAGTGTTAAAGTACTTAACCCAATTTGCAGTCAATGTAGCGAATAGTGAACAGGTTTCACATCAGCTGACATCAATTGCTATTGATTTTAGCGGGTCTACATCTGCATCCATCTTCGACATTATCTTGGATTATACTAAAAGAAACTATTACGCTTTTTAATCAGTCATAATCTATAGGGAATAGAGGTCAATCCGTGAGAAGTTTTTACGTACATACCTTTGACGAAATTCATGTGAAATAGAGATTCCTCGTACTTATCTCCCTAAAGAACACGTATTTAACTTAAATTACAAAAATAATAAGATTTTAATTATTTTTGAGAACCTGTCGAGGTTCATGATGTTTTTTGCACCTATAGAATTCAAGTTGACGCATTTAGACTTAAAATTGAGTAGTCTCATTGCTTTGTTAAATATTTACGAAAGCTCTCATAAGCGTTAAAATATCAGCGTAAACTTGAGATCTACTATCATTGTTTTGCTTTCTCTATTTTATGAATCTGGATTTATCCTAAAAATCTGAAATATTGCATGGAAGGCAGTCTTGTGTCGCTTTACTTCATTGGGAAATGATCGTAGAATTTAAACGACTCAAGACTACTTGTAATAAATTACAGGTATCACTCAATGAGTCCACCGAATCATTGGTGGTTAAATTATGAATAATTAGATATGGCTGTGAATCTGTAATGATCGACATAACCGAGCCATGTCATTTATGTTGGGATAGTATCCACTCTGATTCGGTCAGTATAGTCGCATAGAAAATGGGGCTGCTATAAAGAGTAGCTGTTGCGTCCTCAGGAGATAATTAACAAACTTTGATAGACGAAATAATTTCAGAGATTCATCACTCCCTCACCATTACTATCAGTCAGTCATAATCACCTTAGGGCTTGGCAAAAGCTTGAATTATCACAAGCTACGGCTAGATAAGATTAACAAGATGAGTAGCAATGGAGTTGAGTTAATGCTTTAGTGATGTTAATAAGTTAATGAACATTGAGAATACGGTGGAAAAAGGCCGTTTTGATTAATAACTGTACAATAGTATCCACAGATATCTTTGCTGATTAGTATACCATCTAATTCACGAATTGTTTAGTTTTTTTACAAACAAAGTTATCATTCCTAGTAAAATACTCGTTAAATGGTATGTAAAATTATTTGAAATGTCATTATATTACCAAGTAACCAAGTATACATATTTTACTAAACCACACTTCATAAGGTTAAGTGATGTCTATTTCGAAGTAAGCTGTACATAGTGTGAACCTGTAATCCACTGATCCAAAGTCAGGTGTATGCAGTTACGATCTGGATGTAAGATAAGTAAAGGTAAGTTTCTGGTAAGTTGGGCGACGATATTATCCGGGCGTTCACAATTGACTTTTAACTAGTAAACGAAATAGTCTATACTGGGGAGATGGTTCATGTTTGAATCTCGTCTTATCTCTTTTATTCCGAGTATGGGCGTATTGTTGATGGCTTGCACACAATCAAAGTTTGGCTGAAAGTTGAGTGCTCAAACATCCTTTGTAAATAATTTATGCTGTTTTATTTGGAGACAGTGCTAGTACCTCTCTTTTTAAGAACAAGTGAGTTATTTAACTCAGCAAGTACTTAATTTTAAGTGTAGCATGTTGTTTTTTAATTTGTTTCTACTTCCGTAATACACTACAAAATAAGGACTTAGATATCAAATAGTTTTGGGTTCAATCGGGTCGCTGCACGAAAATTTTTGTGGTGGTGTCTCTGGTCGTCAAAATAAGTGACTTGCGTTGTAATTTCTCTAGTTAAATCATTACTAAAAACCCTGCAAGTACGCTTTTTTGATAAGTGTCAACAAACACGAAGCTTAAGACTATTGCCCTCTCTTTGCTATCATAATATCAGGTGATTGATCTTAATGGTCGAACCGCAATTGCAACCGATCGGTTTCTAATACTACTGAGGGGCATAAATTCGGACATTATCTGCTATTTGGTGACAGGTTTGTATATCAAGCAAATTTGCGAATAGAATACTTTGCTCTTAAAGGAGGATCACCAATAATTGATCATTTCTACTAACATATTTACTTAGAAGAAGTTTACATTTTTCGATAAATAGCTTGCAAATCCCATCCAAATTCACTGATTCCAAAGCATTCAGATACTGTAAAGTTTGTAAAAGAATTGTAATATTCTTATTTAATCCTTAGCTATAATTTCTTTTGATGGCTACCTCTTTTAGTCCCTAAAAATGTAAACACCACTTTGCACGCATTGTGTATATAGAACGTAATTCCCTATCCTCTGATTTTACGATGTTATTATATTAATGAAATTCTAGTTCTGATGAGTTTAAAAGAAGGGAGCTGTCTTAGAATGAATGAAGAAACGTGATTTATGTATTTTTATTTCACTTCTCCAACAAAAACTGGGTTGAATTCTTTAGGACTTTTGCTTATGATTTGATCACACAAAGGATTTTGTGAACGTTATCAGCTAAACCATAAGTAATAAACACAATATGTAAATTAGTTGTAAGCTTTGGATTACGGAGTCCAATGCATTTGTAACCAGCTACTGCATATTTAACAAACACAGAACTCTTAAAATTTGAGACTACTGAAGTGTAAACCGCGGTTCGTGATTCTTCAACATATAACGAATATGTGTATGCATGTACTAAGTGCTATTTGCTTTTATTATCTCTTAGATTTGTTAGAAATATTCAGTAATGAAGTGGTATTCCTGATATTCTAAATACTTTGTTTTAAAATGTTATTGCATTTTCCATAGTTATTTTCAAGTTTCAGTCTACACTTCTATACGTGTTTCTAACCAATGGAAGGCAAGTGTATAGGTAGTGTCGTTAACATATTGATGCAAGTTAACTAACTGGACAAGATAAACATGTTATATTATACTTATTTTTATGACTTGATAGTTGTGCGTAAAGATTTCAGAGATTCTCGAGCTTATCATTATTTTGTTTTTATATAAGTTGAATAATTTTTGCAGAACTTGGTAGGTAAGTTTAAATTTAATTGGACTTTACTGATTCGTTATTTCATACTAGGAATTATAACATATTTTATTCTGAGTTCTGAAAGAAAACTGTCTTTAGGAAACGATACCGTGACAATGTTCATTTATTGTATCGAGGCGGCTTTAAGACTAAAGCGTCCGAATTGCAGCTACTAAGTCCCAGGTTTGAGCCCCTCTCTACCTACTTTGTTCTGGGTAACCGGGTAGTATCGTTAGGGATCACACTTGCAGTATGGTTCATTATCAAGTGCCTTTTGGATTAGTTAGTTTTATCCGAGTGTATTAAAAAGATTTGACTTATAAATAGTTTTTAGGAAAAGATTTATTGTAGAGTGCTCTTTGTCGTAATTATTTATAGCAGCGTTTTTTTCGTGTAGTATCAATTGGTGTTTAGATGCACTTCATATTTATTGCCTACAAAAATTAACTGTATTTGATATGACCCAGTCTTCTGTTTCTAATTTAATGAACGAATTTTACAAAAGCTTAAAGTCTAACTTCTACTAACGTGTCTGTGTGTTGTTAAAACGTGTTTGAGATGCTTGTGGTGATTTATCTCATTCCATGGTTTTCAGATAATGTTTTGTATCCAAGAGGACCAGGATTAGGTGCAGCTCAGATTTTAAACAATGTAAAATCGACTTTACATTTTGGTACTTTGTCATCGATCGATTCATGGGAATCGAATGCCTATTTACTGTTCATGCCACTAGTTTCTGATAGTCGTCCAGAATTCCGTGGAAACATACTTCGAGATTGTATGCTACATTTACCTATCCCTTTAAAAATGCCGTCTACGGTGGCAGTTGGTCTTGATGGTGTAGAAAGTCAACGAAAGGCTGACGAGCTTTTGGGAAGACTGAATAATGAAACTGAGAGTTATCATACAATAAAGCGTCCTTTCAAGCCATTGTTGTATACGGATTCAAGGTTTGTTAGTTTTTCTTATTCTCTTTCGTATTTTTAAGACTCAATAACTCAGTGGTTAAAGTCAATAGACTTATTGTTTATAGTTTCGTGAACTATAAATTGTATTGCTGTTTGATGTGTATTTATTACCATCAAAGTATAAATTACTTCTTAAAGATTGACTGGAATTTACGCCTACAATTAATTTTGATGGTGAAGTTTTAGAAATAGTCAAGGCACTGGTTAATAAGTGTACTTAAATGGATAATAGTAATGATCTGGCAGAAGAAATCATTCTATGTACAGCGAAACCTATAACTGCCTATTGTAAGTCTGAGTCGATTTTCTCGCGATCGTCACGTTAGTTTGTTTATAAAAAGGTCAAGTGCACAACAGTGCCTTAATACCAGTTCTTTTGTTTACTAGTGTGAAATTGATTCTCAAAGACGCGGGTGTTTAATAATCATTGCTTTCATTTAGTCACAGCACTGTGCAGGTAATGCCGAGGGGCAGCTACGTGTTTGTGGACAATTTATATCACTCAACAAGTGGTGGCAACTTGGGAAAGTGGCCTCACCGGTTTAGACATGTTTTCCTCTTGCATACTGATGATTAGTTATTGATGTTGGGGTGAAGTCAGATCAATCATAAACAACGTAGAACCTCCCATAGATGTGCATCGATATTGGAGCTGAAGGTTAAAGACAGAGTTTGTTAGCTTATAAAATGAACTTTTAGATTGAATAAATAGTTACATCAAGTTAGCTTCTGTTGAATTATCATGATTCTTTCAATGAGGCTGTTAGTGGTTGGGCGTTTCAGTGCCGACAGACGTTATCAAACTATTCAAGACTGAAATCAGTGGATACCCTGGTTGTGTTTTCATTTAAAATATGACCTTGAGTACTTCTTATTCTTATTTTTACTATTTTGTTTCACATTATTGTCATTTCATTTTGTGATGGATTTGTTAGTACAAATTAGGCTTTGATTTGTCTTTTTTTATTTCCCAAATGATCTTACGAATAATGAATCATTGGAAAAAAAATATTTGAAAATGTATCTCAGTGGATTTTTAACTCGTTTTTTTTAATTTTGTATAAATATGATTCAAACAATGCATATAGTCAGTAACCAGAAAAAAATGATTGATTGGTCTAATTAAATTAGTGGATAATGAATAAAGAATGCCATTTTGCACAAGATAAAGTTTTATATCTTTTCATCGACACCAACCTTTAAGCATCTAAGATCGAGGAGAGTACATTGTGTAATAGCTGTATTGCAACATTAATAAATAGAATTTCGACTAGTGTATACCAAACACTAGACGAAAATCCACTAGTCACTGTCATTAATTAAATAAATAATATAACAAAGATGGAATATTTTTAATAGTTATTAAGTAACGTTTTATCACTCCATTAAATTTATTTTATTCTTTGATAACTATTTCGTATATTTTATTATAGTGTATTAGTTCGTGTAGGTATTTTAAGAGTTTTAATAGAATTCGTTAAACAATCAATTGTTTATTGGTTGTCAACATTAAGTACTTTGTTATTGATTTTATCTTGACCAATTTACTCCGTATCGTTTGTGACACCTAAATTAAATCTATTTAAATCTTTATATATTTGCCAAAAAAAAACATTCGCATCTCGTTTGCGTTATATTATCAATGAGATATTTTTAAACGTGCAACTAACAGAAACTAATCATTAAGGAAATAAATACATGTTTTGTATAGTTCACCTGCAGTTCTCATTAGTTATTAAAATGATTAGATCCAATGTTTTTGTGATATTGTTGTATGGTCACTTGAAGGTGTGACAAATAATTTAACCGCTTAACTTATTGATCCGTTTTATATTCATTTATGACGTATCTAATGGATTGTAATGTTATCAATTACATTTATAATTAAATTACATAGACGTGTAGGGTAGCTTGTCACCTAAATTATTTCAATTTGCTGAAATAGACAAATCAATATATCTTAAAAATCCGTCTAAAAACACCATATAAAGTATGTCGGTCAACTATAGAAAAGTTCCCAAATCTTGAAGTTTTCCATAATGGCATCAAATTAGTGTGCATGTATGCCACTGCAACAGGTTTAAAATATGTTATTTGATTCACTCATTTTTTATGAAGTCATGATTGATAAAAATCAGCAATTCAATTAGCTATTCATACTGCAAACTTTTCACCTACTTTATTACATATTAGTTTGTTCAAGAAATTATTTCTGAAGTTATTTTCTTGGAGCTTTCAGAATGTTATACATCTATGTTGGAAGTATCAGAAGGGGACAATATTGGATTAAGAAATTAAATGAATCAATAAGGTGCTTGACTACCTATCGATTGCTACAACATACATAATAATTGGATCAGGATTAATATATTACAGCGATCCTAAGTCGAAATAGAAAACCTATCATCAATTAACAAATTGGTATAAGCTATCTAGGCGACTAGTTATTATAGTCAATATCACTGAGATAATAAAAATCGCTATCGGATGTTGAATATATCATTATCTGTTGTCCAATATACACTTGGTGTTTTTTTCTCTAACATTAATTAATTATGATTTCATATTGACTATCTGTTTTCAAATAATTTCTGAAGACTGTTACAAGTTGAATCAATGTATGATTGTCTCTAGATTTGTATAAGGTTTGAGCTAGTTAGTGTCAGAATCGTATTATAAATACCATACTTTGTGAAGGTCAGTTAGTTAACTATGTAACTGATACAATATCTTACTTTTATTGGTAACTTATTGTTAATTAGTCACTGATTGGCATTTAATATAATGTTTCTGACTGATATGTATTTTTATGTGGTGTGTGAAACACCTATCCAATATGTGCATTCGTCCTGTCTTGCAAATGTACGTTTCTTCTGTTGAGGTGTAGCTAATTTAACGTATGATCATATAGCATTACATCGAGTTGTCACTGGTTCAGTAACCGTCTTTGACTATCACAATAGATATTTGTTACTCTATAGACATAATGTCCTTACTCTCTATATCACTATAATTATTTTGAAATGTTATCACCTATTTTATAACCTATATTACATTTATCATTATTTTACTCTAGTCTTTATTGTACTTCAATGCCGTTCACTGATGCAATGGAACTTGGTAGTCCAGGTGATGGACTTATTATACGCCCATCTAAACTCGGTTTATTCATTTTACATGTAAGTGGAAATTATCCTCCAACGTATAGTCTAAATTCATTGGAACGTTGTCTAGAAACTTTTGATTTGTAAACCAGTTTTATTCAAATGATAATGTTTAATTAGATGTTTGTTTTTGTTTAATTTATAGACTTCTTTAAAACTAAGTATCATGTGACGTAGGTATAGGTTTTACGAACGATCGATAGAACATCTATGACTCTTGTCAAATAATTCACCAAAATTCTGTCGATATGTTACGAGACTATTATATATAGATTGTAAAATAGATGCATCGTATTAGAACATGTATTAAAACATTAGCAATTTGTAATTGAACTGTTTTAAAATGAGAATATATCTAAGTTGTGAAATAAAATAACGCAGGTTTTTGTACAGAAATACCTTGTAGTTCAAATAATCACACTTTGTAACCGAAAAAAAGTGTTAGGATATTAAAACAGACAAGATGGGTTGTCGAATCGAAAAGGAGAACAAAATATTTTACTACTTGGAGGAACAGTATAGTGAATATAGATTTATGTAACTAAATTTGATTTAGAAAACCACATCACCTTATTTCTTTAACCACTGATTTCTATCATTCCGAAGACAACAGATTTACATTATTTGTGTATTGTAAATCAACCAGTCCGATAAGAAATCACTCCTAAAAAGTTTTTGTCAACTCCAGCTGTATGAAGGCTGAACAGAATCGAAACTTTCAAGATGTGACTAATCGTCACTTCAGATATAGTTGTCGTGCAATCTAATGGAAGTACTGAAGTTCTTATGGAATACTTTAAAAAACATGGTATGAATGACAGGGACTAAGTTTGATTCTTATGACCAACGAAATACGAGTTTTTAGATTTGTTGTAATCGGTTGAGGGACTGATGTTAGTACCATTTAGCTCCTAGTTAACTACATATTAGTTCGCGAGTTTCGACCTAAGTTTTTCCCGTTATTTCCAGATAGCGATCTTAACTGCCGTTGGTTTTATCGAATCGCTGTGTTTAAAAGGCTTGAATAATAGGTATTTATAACATCATATCAGTGTCTTTCGCATCCTATTTAGCTTTGCTATTCGCCACTGCTCTTGTTCGTTTTGCAAACTGATGAGAATGGAGACAGTTAACCACTGTTCCCAATATTTAACCTGTCTGTTTGTGCAAGGTTCATCACCTCTCTAGCTAACTACTTTTTGAATACAGATGAATCTTTTATCTTTCCATCGACAATAAACGTTAGTCCAGTTTCATCTTTGAATTTTCCCCTAAAGGGGATAATTTTTCTGTGAAAGTAGCTACTTTTAATCTTGCTGCCTGTCAACCTACGATACTAATTTGTTAAAACTTCAAATAATAAGTCATTCCATCAATAAAAACAATAGGGTTGCTGAGATCGACAGATCTGATCACTATGTTAAGGCAGTGGCTATCAGAATCCAACTCGATAGTTACGTAAGATCAGCAGTATTTGTCTACATAATCCTGGGTGTGGAATAGGTGCTCAGTTGAATAGCTGACAGACTAGAATCCAACTGACTAGTTATAATTAGGAGAGTACGTACATTATACATTCACCTACCTAATGTAACCATATGAAAATTTGTGTACCAAGTTAAAAGTTAACGATACCACTCATCCCTACTGGTAGAGAGGTAAACATTCATTAGTTTTTGATGGAGTCTGCTTCTACCTGAAGTTTGTGCTGATGATGTTGTTATGACTTTAAGTTCGCTAGTTATCACATGGTTCATCCGCCAATCGAAATACGACTTAAACGATCTTCACAGTGTGATGAACCAATGACTTTCGACCGGTATGAGCAGCCTAGAGTCCTTATTGGTCCCTTGCTTGCCTAGCCCGTCCAGTTGAGTCCGGAACACCAATACAGCTTCCATTATGCGGATAATTTGTTTCAGACATACTGAGTTTATACATCAACCAAACAGACCGCAACGCACCATAAAATAGAAAATAACACTCGTACAAAATATAGTCAAAAGTGGTTGTGAGCGCGGGAGACAGCAATTAATAAACTGAGTATAACTTAAGAACAGTAAATCATACAATAATAATCTATAGGTCAAAACGAAGCTTATAATAAGGGGAATGTAGATAAAACATAATCTAATTGCTGAATGGTTATACCATAAGAACATATAGATAATATTAATCCATTATTAGGTTTCAGAAGTTACTCGTAATTTAATCTTCGCTAGGATAAAACAGATGTCGTTCAGAAGAACGATGAAAGCTCCACGACCAAACCATCCAGCTCAGAAAACAAAACTCCATCAAAATCATCCACCTGAGCTACAAATCTTCATCATCTCAAAATTCATTAAAGTATTTATTTATTAAAACTGTATTAACTAGGACAATATCTAAGTGAGTATGATGATGAAAGCTAAGAGGAGACTTAATTTTTGCATTTAAAATCTAACCAAGTTTTAGGATAACCGGATTAACATTATTATCTATGAGTTAAGTAATGGAACTTGACCGATAATCATAGTTGACTTGTGCTCTATTCATCAAGTATTTCAGTCGATGTTATTATCATTAACTTATGGGACTAACTGATACTCGCATCTGTGATAAATACTTTATATTGGCAAGAAAACATTACAAAATGTTAACTTAGTTCTTCCATTTTATCACTTACTCTTGTTGTCCATCGTGGAGAAGCATAGGCCGCCCACCAGGATTCTCCATCCAACTCTGTTTTGGGAGGTCCTTTCTAGTTGCTATACATCCTTTTGATGTTTGCCTCTGATTCCCGACGTAATGTGTTCCTTGGTCTTCCTCTCTTCCTTTACCCCTCAGGATTCCAAGTTGGCGCTTCCCTTGTGATGCAGTTTGATGATTTCCTCAATGTATGTCCTGTCCGCTTCCATCGTCCTTTTCTAATTTCTTCTTCGTCTGGAATCTGGTTTATTCTCTCCCACAGTCGACTGTTGCTGATGATATCCGGTCAACGGACATTGAGTATTTTGTGTAGACAATTGTTTATAAATACTTTTACCTTTTTGATGATGGTCGTAAAAGTCGCGATGAAGGCCACTTGTTGAGTATACAACGGCGAATAATCTTCGACGTATTACCTTTTTCGCTAGCTTCTTTAATGGCTTCGAATGCGACCGGCAGTCCGGAAACTGAGTATGCCAAGACTGTGTGAACTTCGTATGGGAACCAATTAATCTTGAGAGGGCATCTACCTGTCCGAAATCCGTTGTCGGTTGATGCTTTATCTTGAAATCATAACTCAGCAGTGTAATCTTCAAAGTAAGGTTCCCTATATGCACTGTCAAATTCTTTCTCATCATCAAGGAAGTTGATGTATAGTGGTGAGTTCCATTCATTTGATTGCTCAACGATGATCCATATTGTTCTATGCGTGACTGATCCTTGCGGAATCCAGCTTGTTGATCTCGAAGTTGAATGTCTATTGAATCTTCCATCCGGTTCAACAGCACTCTGTTGAAAAGTTTTTCTGGTACTGATAGTAGTGTGGTGCCTCCATAGTTCACAATCACTGAGATCTCCTTTCTTTGATATATTGATGAGGTATTCTTCTTTTCAGTCTGTCTTTTGCCACTTGTTCCTCCTCCCAAATATTCCTGAATAGAATGTGAAGTATGTATGTAGCTACTCCTATGTTCGAAGATGATTTTTCAACTAGTATAGTGTCAGGTCCTACTGCTTTCCCACTCTTGCTTTGTCCGATGACCGTGGCGATTTCTTAGATTAACGGTGGGTAAACAGCTATGGGAAGGTCTGTGCGTGCTGCTTTGATTTCCGTCGGGTTCAGTGAAGCTGGTGTATTCAATAATTTTTTTAGAACCTTCTGTCAACCTGTTCCTCTTTTCTTGATTCTCAGTGATTGGCTTTCTTTCTTTGTCTTTGACCAGTACCTCTGGTTTACTATATTTGCCTGCTAGTGTCTTCGTCGTGTCATATAGTTGTTTCATATTTCCTTCTTGTACAACTTTTCGCACTGTCACTGCTAGGTCTTCGACGTCTTTCTTCTTGTCAGCTCTAATGCTCTGCTTCACTTGCTTATTTGTTTCTGTGTATTCAGCTTGTGCCTCGACTTATTCTAACCTTGTCTGACTGTTGTTAGTTTCTGTCTTGTTCTTTCTTTCTTGAATCCTACTGAGGGTTTTGATAGAGACCTCTTTGTGACAACGCTTCTTTCAGCGCAACACTTTCTGGCATTTTGAAGTCAGTGCTTCTTTGATCCCTTTCCAATTTTTTGTATTATTGTCATGTTCTTTGAGTAGATCTTGTAAAACTTGGAGCTGCGTTGAATTGGTTGAGCTTGACCTTTATAATGCTGTTTTTCCATTGCTCCTTTAGCTTCAGTTTCATCTTGGAAACCACCAGGTGGTGATGTGAAGCTATGTCAGCTCCTTTCCTGCTTCTCATGTCCTGCATTGTTCTTCTGAATTTTTTGTGATGGAAATATGATCGATCTGGTTCTGTGTAGCGTGATCCGGTGAGACCTGTGTAACCCTGTGTATGCGATTGTGTGGGAGTATTGTCCCACCCATAACCATTTTGTTGAATGCACATAAATTTTCTAATTTGTCACCATTCTCTTTCCTTTCTCCCAATCAGTCCATGTCGTCCCATGGTATCTTCATACCCGTTGTCAATTCCGATGTTGGTGTTTGGGTCTACCATTAAGACGGTTAAGTGATTTCCTAGATACTTCTATACGACCGATCCCAGCCTCTCATAAAACTGTTATTTATCGTCTTCTTTGCTATCATTGGTGGGTACATAACACTGGATGACATTGATTGTGATTCCTTCTTTGTTTCGGAGGCCTTGATGTTCTTGGATTCATGAGATTCGCATCCTATGAGTTGCATCAGAGCAACTCGTTGAGTGTGTGGAGGATTTTCCTCTTCGTGACCAGAGTGCAACAGCATTTCTCCTGAATCTTATCTTTCCTGTCCATCTTGGGTCCAATGTGTTTTACTTATTCCGAGAACCTCGTTGTTGTATCTCCTCATTTCCGAATGTATTTGACTTGTTTTCCCAGTTTCACATATTGTCTGGATATTTGATGTGTCTGCATTGAATGTTGTTGTGGCTGTCAGATGTGGCAT